TTCTTTCTTTCTTTCTTTCTTTCTTTCTTTCTTTCTTTCTTTCTTTCTTTCTTTCTTTCTTTCTTTCTTTCTTTCTTTCTTTCTTTCTTTCTTTCTTTCTTTCTTTCTTTCTTTCTTTCTTTCTTTCTTTCTTTCTTTCTTTCTTTCTTTCTTTCTTTCTTTCCTGCCTTCCGCTGAACCTCTGTTTCCTTCTCTCCTTCCCCTAGAAATGCCTGCACTCATGGCCTTGAGGAAACGTGCTCAGGGAGAGAAGCCACTGGCTGGAGCCAAGATCGTGGGTTGCACCCACATCACGGCTCAAACCGCTGTAAGTTACGCCGAAGCGCTCCCCGTCGCTATCCGAGCTTGTTTCTCTGTCCCAAGGCGGAGATCTCCCAGAGGTGGGATCGACTGGTCCAGAAATCCTACCTAGAGAAATCTTCTCCGCTTTGGAGACATTGTGTTGGGCTTCACAGGTAGTCCTCAACAGGTGGGGTGGGATTCTACCGGTTCCGCCCGGTTCGAGCAAACTGGTAGCGCCGAGGACGAGCTGGGAGTGAACTGGTTCGCTCCAACGATCAGCTGTTGGGCTCGCTCACCTAGGCTGTGCTGATTTTGAAGCTCAGTTGATTTGCGCGGCACAGTGGATTGTCACGCATCAGCTGTTTAACACACAGGGATTGATGGAGAAGGTCAGTTAGCAAACGCTCTGCGCGCGTTCCCCGAACCGGTTATTACCCCGGTTGAATCGCCTCCCCCCCCCCGGTCCTCGATTTACAGCACCTTGTTCAGTGGCTGTTCAAAGTTACCCCTGAAAAATGAGAAAAAACGTGACTCAGGACCGTTTTTCATACTTACGACCAGCCGTTGCAGGGTCCCCGGGATCAAAATTCGGAGGCCTGGCCACCGCTTTGTAGTTACAACGGTCGCCGTGTCCCCGACGGGCCCCAGCGTTCCGTGCGCCTTTGGCAGCATTTAGTCCTGCTGGTCACATGACCATAGAGATGTCGTGGGACAGAGCGGTCTCTCCTTTGGCTTTGTAATGGAGATGAGCAGCGCCCCCTAGAGCCCAGGGCCGGAAACGACTAACGGGGAGGTGCGAGGGGAGAACCTTTACCTTTAAAATAGGAGTTTATGAAACCCAGCAGGTGGCTTGCCCGAATTGGAGTTGACGGGGTGAGGGTGGGCGTTGAGTAGCCCCCTCCTCACCATTCCCCTGCCTGCAGGTTCTCATGGAGACCCTCGGTGCCCTGGGGGCTCAGTGCCGGTGGGCCGCTTGCAACATCTACTCCACCCTCAACGAAGTGGCAGCTGCCCTGGCTGAGAACGGTAAGGAAGGATTTGTCTTTCTCGAGGAGGGGGGGCGGAAGGGGGGGCCCCCAAAGCAAGCTGGGGGGGGGCGGGGCGGGGGGGGTTCAGCCCTCCGCAGAACGGGAGGGGCTTGCGAAGATCTTTCAGGCCACAGTGGCTCTTCTCTGGGGCCCCCTCCCCCCCCTCGCCCCAATTTTTCTTCCAGGGTTCCCCGTCTTTGCCTGGAAAGGAGAATCGGAGGACGATTTCTGGTGGTGCATAGACCGATGTGTCAACGTCGAAGGCTGGCAGCCCAACATGGTGAGCGCCGGGGGAAGGAGGGGGGGGCGGAGTCTGCCAGGGCAGCCAGCAGCACACGGGAGGGGCGAGGGCAATTCGGTTGGACTTGAAAGAAAGAGAGAGAGAGAGAGAGAGAGAGAGAGAGAGAGAGAGAGAGAGAGA